GGTGGGCCCGTTAGCTCTGTCCATATTCCGCACCTTCCCCTGCAACTGCAACTGTCATGACGTGAGACCCATTTTCGCGTTGAGTGGTTCGCGTCCCGCATTGGCAGTTGCGAAGGATCCATCAAACAGACCCGACGCGTTTTATCTGCAATCGCGACACTCATCAATTCCACTTTCCCTCATGACCATTGTTTCTTGCATGTTTCTTCCAAATTCCGATTTTCTCATAAACTCACATACGAATAAAAGATTTCATGGCTATAGCAATGGACGAAAACTTGAGAGCAGCTTATGAAAGTCAATCACAGCAACTACGCATCGACTTGAAGACTTGGGAGACAGAATGGGCAAAGACACACGAGGGCACGAAGCCAGGAAGAGAGGACATCAAGGCCAACCAAGATATCGGTAGGTCTTTAGAACGAACAAATTAACCAATCTGCTAACCATTGTACAGCCTTGAAATATAAACAGTACAACAAGGTTCGAGATATACTCTCGGGCAAAATCCCACCTCCCTCAAATGAACCCAGGAAGCGGAAACCCGATACTCTACCAGCACAAACGCCCACCAAACGTACCAAAAACATCCAGACTCCCTCCAAGAACCGTACACAAGACCACGATGAGGAACTCATGAACACTCCAGCCATATCGCGAAAACTATTCAGTCCCGCGTCGGTAACCTCAGTCGGACCGACACCACAAAGAGATGGTCGCGTGCTTGGCCTCTTTGACTTATTAGTAGAGAAAGAGCTAGGAACACCGTCGAAACAAGATTCTGCGGCCAGATCAGGGTCTGCACGAAAGGTCAATGCAACTCCGAGCAAACGATCAGCTACCATGGATGACGAGGAGAACGAAAGGCTTGGCCGAACCCCTATGTCATCTAGTAAACGACAAAGGCTAAACCACTTCATGACCCCGCTGAAGAATAAGGATGGAAACAAGGATGCCGTTACGCCCTCTTCGGTCTCGAAACTCCTATTCGATACACCCGCCTTCTTGAAGCGCAATACTCTACCGGTTCTTGACGAGAATGGCGATTTTGATGCCCCAGCACCCTTACGGCTACCGCGCAAGCCTTTCACACGAGGTCTCAGTGAAATTGTGGCGAGTCTTCGAAAGGTGGAAGAGGAGAACTTGGACGACGACTTGGATGCATTGCGTGATGCTGAAGAAGAAGGAATGGGTGAACCTAGGCCCAAGACGCTATTCCCGTCTAAACCAAAGAATGATATTCTGGTTGAGGACACCCAGACACGGCAATTACCACTTGGTGGTTTCGATGATGAAGCCTTGTATGACAGCCCAGTGGAGGAAGATGGTAACCCGACTAGAGTGTATAAGAAGAAGGGTCAGAAGCGAACTACAAGAATGGTCAAGATGCGGCCAACTCGGACCAAGCGACCGGAAAACATGGGAGAGAACCTTCAGAGTGATATTGAGAACGATGAAACGCAAGCTGGTGGTGAAGATGCTGGATCTGATTTCGAGGGGGTAAAGGAGAAGAAGCCCACAAAGAAGAAGGAAGGCACTGTGAGGAAGGCCGCGCGAAAGGTCAATGAGCTGGCCCACGCAAACTTCCAACGGCTGAAGCTTAGGAACCACGGAGCAAAGGGTGGTCCTGGATTCAACAGTAGATTCCGACGACGAAGATGATGGATCGATTTGGTCATGGGCAAGAGGGTTATAATGAGATGCATAGCATGGCGTTCTGATTCAAGGCATGTGCAGTAGACTATACCAACGGGCAAGGAGAAGTTAGTTGTTACATTGCCCAGTTCAGCGTAGATGAGCGTTCAAGCTGGAAATAGATTGAGAGTCATTGGGACTCATTTTGATCATATAATCTTTGACCTTGTGTATCATACTGGAATTATTTGTCTCTACTCCATATCTTTTCTTCTTATAGGTAGGAATGAAAAGCACAGAAGATGGAGTTCTTGCCAGGAGGTTGCAAATGTGGTGCTGTGGATTGTTCGAGTTTAGCGCGTTCTTACTCCAAGCTGCCGAACCTCGAGCCTTTAGTGACAAGATTGATTCACTGACTGAGTGGCCTCGAAGATCAAACAAAGAAACTCGATCACAATAAACACACACAATCGTCTCGCTTCGACTTCTTCTTCTCTCTCCCTTCATAAAACGCTCAGAGACACGCTCCTCTTTACCTAAATCAACCCTCCTTTTGCATACAACGAACAACTCGAGCGCTTCGCGACTTTGTAATCACACTCGTTCATTTGGCCGCGTTGAAATTGAGGCTTTCAACGATTCCTATTCGCGTCTTGACTTTCTTTATTTTGCTTTCTCATTGTTCCTACGCACAAAGCCGGGCCTATCTACATGGGATCCTCTTGGTATTGTCAGACCTGTTGTACTCATCAAAAGATGATACGGGAGGTGTAGGCTGCTTGGTGTTTGTCTTTTAATCGAGTTTTTCGCATACAAAAGGTCCAACATTTTGATTACGTTTGAGCATGCAGTGGCATAAGCCTTATCCTTCAATATGCCTGTAAGGTTGCATCTCAAACACAGAATGGCTCGGTTGCTGACGCTGACTAGCATATCGATCTTGACGATGATGTTGTCGATCTAACGCTAGATGAGTTCCAGAACCAAGATAATTTTATCGATCTTACACTAGAGGGGTTCGGGGACACGGACATCAGTTGGCTCACAGATCACAATGGCGACTTTGACGGTATGTTTGAAGACGCCTTTGCTGCGAGGGGGCCTCATGCAACCACCACCACCACTACCAGTCATGATGCACCTAAAATGTGGACCAAGTTTGGAGAGATGGAGGAAGCGGAGGAGGAAGAGGCAGATGCAGATGCAGATGCAGAGCACATAAATGCCATCCAACAAGTCGACCTATCCCCTAGCTCTCTCACCCAAAGCCCTCCTAAATACGTCTCAAGTCCCGAACCCTTTTTCGCAGACACCTACCCGGAAATGCCTGAACTCCCAGAGTCGTGTGTCATAGAGGCTGTAGATCCTGATCTCGAATTTGGTGATGCAGACGCAGGTGCTTCGGCTGAGGTAGTGGCACAAGAAGACGTTACATTGGAACAGACGCCAGACGTCCCTGTCAGCTCGAATATGAGCGTTGAATTCCCAGAGAGCCTGCTCTTGGTACCAAGGTCGTATTACGAACCATTCGAACCGGGTGTCCCAGTTCTTAAGGAACGTGAGGCTGTTGCTCGACTGCTCGAGGTGGCTGAAGAGGCCGGTCAGGGTATTCACCATGACGACTTCGTTGAGTTCCAACTTGACGATTTTTCAGTCTATTCCGATCGTCAAAGATACGGTCAGGAGATGTGCTCCCTCCACCTCCTCCACACAAGACATGGCTTCAATACTGTCTTCTTTGACGGAAAGCTGAGTGTTGGTAATACTATTTTCTACGTTCATCGAGTGGAAATCAGCGCATTGCCGATTGAGAACTACGGTACGCTATCAAAGCACACCGTCAAAGACAAAATCTGGGTGCGGTCAGTGTTAAACACAGAACGTGAGATATACTACCGGTTGAATACCCCTGCCAAGGAATATCGTCGTTTCTTTAACCCGTTCTTGTGGGTTGCAGATCTCGCAAAGCATTTCGTGGATTACCTCAAGTTCAAGGGGGAGGAAGACAGCCAAGTTACGATCTTCCATTTCAGATCAAATTTCAGCATTTGGCTAGCGAAAATGCACAGCCAAGCACCAGAATTCATCTTGTGGAAGAGGCAGCACGTAAACAATGATTTCAGGACGGCGATTGTGGCCAATATTGCGTTTTTACACAAGGAAGCGATCGGTGTTCTTGGGCATAGAAAAACATACAAGCACGTTATCTGGGCCGAGATATGGGAGTTCACGCGATACAAACCGCACCCAAAGATTGGGTCCTGCGAAGACACAGATACTGTCGTTACCCAATACATTTACGACTGTTTCAGTCACCAGCCATTCGGCGACCGTCTCAAGGCCATTCCTTTGAGTGAGACTACTCAGTCTTTACGAAATGCACTGATAAAGCAACGCCATCTGGAATTACCAGCGCCAGTTCATGATAGTGGTAAGACCATAACAATGGCTGGGGAAAAGCAGATTCGAGCGATTCGAGCAGGAGACACAATCTCGATACAACGAGATGCCGAGGGATCTGGTACACAATGGCGACGTGACGTTGCGCATGGGTTTGACGACGTTGACCGATGGTTCGCCTTGGTACAGCGCGTGCGTGTCAACAAGCGCGGCCAGAGAACTTTCGATGTGATTTGGTACTATCGACCCGTAGACACCCTGTGCGGTCTGATGAAGTACCCTTGGAACAACGAGTTGTTTCTGTCGGATCATTGCTCTTGTGATACCAGAGCGAAGATCTCCGAGGACGAAGTGTCAGGGGTTCACCAAGTCGAGTTTGGGGGGACTTCAGCGACTGAAGCCGAGTTCTTTTGTCGCCAGACATATATATGCCAACAACGAAATTGGGTCACCCTTGAGAAAGACCATTTTCGTTGCATTCATCTGCGCAAGAGCTCCCCTCAGGCGCCGGAGTTACGACCCGGTGAAACGCGACTCGTCATGATCAACAGGGATAGCGGCCGGTCCGAGCCTTGCGAGTTTCTAACCTTCTATGAGGAGGAAGGTAACGGCATATACAGGTTCCGGAAGTTGTTAAGAAGACACCAAGTTGATCCAGCATCCAGAGCTCGACCCAATGAGTTGGTGTACAGCTATGTCGAGCCGCTTGTCGAGGTAAAAGGTTCGCGCATTCTCGAACCATGTTTCGTTCGTTATTTCAAAGACAGGAAAGCAATACCAACGCCGTATGACCGTGACGGTGTGGGAGGGTTTTTCTATTTCACACACGAACAAGTTCACGACAATGAAACTGGAACGAAGTCATATGTTGCGCTGTACAAACCTCCCTCGTCTATGCAGCAGGGCTATGACCCATCGCAGCCTATTCCACGACTGCGAGGTCTGGACCTTTTTTGCGGAGGTGGCAACTTTGGTCGTGGCTTAGAAGATGGAGGTGCCATCGAGATGCGATGGGCGAACGACTTTGACGCCAAGGCTATCCATACTTACATGGCAAACACCGCTGGGCCCTCTGAAGTGTCTCCATTCCTTGGGTCCATAGACGATCTCCAACGTCTGGCTATCGAGGGCGACTTTTCAGATAATGTCCCACCGATTGGAGATGTGGATTTTATCTCAGGAGGTAGCCCTTGCCCAGGCTTCTCTCGACTGACCAACGATAAAACAACTGCCGCTCAGCGGAAGAACCAGTCGTTGGTAGCAGCCTTTGCGTCGTGTGTGGACCTGTACCGTCCACGATACGGTCTCCTTGAGAACGTTCCGGGAATCGTACAAAAGACCGCTAATCGAGACCAAGACGTGTTCAGTCAGCTCATTTGTGCTATTGTAGGCTTGGGTTATCAAGCACAGTTCTTCTTTCTCGATGCTTCTGCCTGCGGTGCACCTCAGCGTCGTTCTCGTGTGTTTCTGGCTTTCGCTGCACCAGGCCACCGTCTTCCTCATGCACCGCATCAAACACATGCCCACCCGCAGAATACTCCTAGACTTAGTCTAGGTATTCTTCCCACGGGAGAGCCTATGGCTGAGCGCGCTATTCCGGCTGCCACGCCATTTGACTTTGTGTCTGCGAGTGCTTCCACTGCCGACCTGCCCCCTGTTTATGATTCAAAGCCAGATATATGCGTGCCGTACCCCGACCATCGAGTGTCTGTGGGCATCACGCCTATAATGCGAAGTAGAATTCATCTCATCCCAACTTTACCCTGGGGCATGAACTTCGCAAAGGCCTGGTATGGTCTCGACCTGAAAAAGGCTGGTTCGGGCGTAATGACACCAAGCGAACGCCTAGCATTTCCTGAGCGCACCGATAAAGGTTTAGGACGAGGAAACCCAAGCTCGCAGTCATATGGCCGACAACGACCCGACCGTCTCTTTGTCACAGTCGTCAAGACCCAAGGTCCGAGCGATGCGAAGAACGGCCGCACGTTACACTGGCATGAGCCTCGCGTCTTGACCGTCATGGAGGCGCGACGAGCGCAGGGGTTCAGGGACGAAGAGGTCCTGTTGGGTATCCCAAGTGACCAATACCAAATCGTTGGCAACAGTGTCGCTCGTGAGGTCGCGGTGAGCTTGGGTGCTGTATTCTGCGAGGCATGGATGCAGAGCCTCGCAGACGAGCATCACACCTCCACTGCTGCAGTTTCTTCTGTGGTGCCGGCCCGTATCGGTATCGAGGTTTCCCCTATCACCAATATCAGGAGACTTGAGTCCGAGTCAGCCTCTGTCGAAAACACCTCACAGTCTCGAAAGTCCAGAAGTGAATCTCGAGTCAATCAGGTTTCATCCACACCAAGATCTACTCCTCCTACTCCCCATCAAACGTCTACTAAGCGTAACCACATCGCTGTTGAGATTCGCGGATCGAAGTCGCTCAGGACAGACGAATACAACAGCCCCAGCAGGGCCACGTCTGTAGCATCCAGCCGCCCCAAATCAAGTAGGTCGCGGCATAGCACCAGGGTTGAATAGTTTTGTAACGAATACCGGGGCTCGAAATACTACATATAGAAGGATGCTTGGACATGCAAACTTGTGATTCGAATTCTAGACTTGTGGGCATCCCGAAA